AGATATACAAGTAAACAGTTCATTTATTTTTGTGGCCAATGGAAAACCATCTTTGCTTTTCTTGACTTAATTAAGTGTTATTTTGACCTATCCATTCAACAAGATCGAAGTCATATGGTGCATTCAGTTAGTACTCATCCTATTTGTCCTGAGTTTGAACCCTGTTCACCATCTTCCCAAGATTTGTTGGGGGGATATATTACATTCTGAACTTTGACCCTACTTTGAAATTCTCTAAAATTTAATTTTTTTTCCTTGACAGTGTGTTGCCTTCAATGACATAGCTCCTCAAGCACCTGTTCATTTTCTTGTTGTACCTAAAAAGCCCATAGTGAAGCTATCTGATGCTGAGGATGCAGATGAACAGGTAAATAAAGGAAATAACTTTCTCTACCCAATCGTTTTCTTCACTCCTCCCCAGACGCTTGCTTTTAACCAATCCAATCATACCCTGCCAGATGTTACGCTGTCACCGGATGTGTGACATCATGGGTTTCTCCAGGTCATGGGTTTTTCCAATGCATGATTTAAATCCGAAGTTTATTTTGCCCTAGACTAGGTTTATTTAAATTGATACGTGACAGTAACATATCAGAAGTGTTTACATTTAATTACCTACATAGTGAGTATCATTTCAGAAATGTTTTTTTATGTAAAGTTTAATTAAAAGTTAAGTTTCACTTTCAGACCATGCTTGTACACAGGACAGATAATAAGGTCATCTCTTTCTGTAACCCATGGTTAATGAATCACAATGACCAACCATCTTTACTTTTCACCAACTAATGTCGGGTACCCATTAGAGCTGGGTGAATTTAGAAGTGCCCTAAAGTTTAATTACCTAAGCTTTATTGCAGCCAATATAAAAAAAAAGCATTGGAATAATGGTTTTAAGAATAGTCAAGAAAAGGATCAAGGGCTGGCCTGTACTGTCATTATTGGTAACTTAAACAACTAGATTGAGTCAGAAAACCATGAAATAAAGTACTTGTACTGTGCTTTTTGTCTCATTCAGCAGCTTTCAAATCCATGAATTTTATTCCTTGTAAGAGAGAGAAGCTAAGTACTTGTTGCAGCTTCTTTACAGAAATCTATAAAGCAGTTTCTTTTGTCATACTTTGCTTTATTTTCATTTTGTTTATTTCATCATGGCTGGTGTGTTATTTATATAAGACAAAGGGTAGGAAAATAATCTTTTTTTTTCATTTCTGGTTAGCAGTCTAATCTTTCTTATAATGCAAAGTTAAAGAGTCTTGCCTCTTGTCCTTTCTGTGTCATGAAAGTCTAGCTATTGTAATGAATTAAACTCAGAGACATCACAGACGTTAACCTTTAAGTGCATTTATAATGTGAAAGTAACTACTCTTTACACTGTGTTAGCAACATTCAACATAGATCATTTTTTCGTGTCTTTGGTGCTGTTTAACTACTAATAAGTGCAAGATTTATGTACAAAACCCTATGATTTTTTTTTTTACTGTATATTATTTAACTTTCATCTATCTCTTAAGTCTTTTAAATTGTTGTGGCACCAAACATAATCATGTCAACCGTCTTTATTCATTCCTCTTTGTCTTTTGCAGTGAATAGAATCTCTTTCAATGACATGCCTGACCATTCTTTATATTTGTCTTCTCATTGCAATGGCAATAGGGCCCAACAATGACCTGCTGAACATTGTCAAAAAAAGTTTTAGCCATATCACAAGGTCCTTTTGGCTTATGCTACAATGTGTACTAAATATGACCTTCTGACCAATGTCAAAAAATGCAAACTAAAATTTTATGGCCATATCACAAGGTCCCCCCCCCCATGCCCTTGATCATTTATGATTATATAAACTTAAAATTTTTTCTGTAGACTTTACTTCGTAACAATTTGTTATATTTATTACTATCACCTTACTGTGTTTTCTGGAAAGATCAATTTCTTGATTTTATACACTAACATGTGATCAACCCTGCATTAAAACATGATCAACCCTGCAGTAAAACATGATCAACCTTGCGAATCATCTGGTCATCTATTTGATCAAATCAATTTTGTCAGTCCTAACCATCACCATAATCAACACTTAAATACCACCACCATACTTTATGTGTATATTCTAACGTGCCTCATCTTGCAGCATTCCAATTTAAACACTAGGTTCTTAGGTTAGCTATCTAAAGTCATGATTTGAGCAATTATCAGATTCTAGCATTCTTGTACATCTCAGCAATATACATAACATATATTTCATCATTTACTAATAGCTAGTAGCAGTTTGAAAACTATTTACACTTTTAATTGTAGGTTTAGAATGAATGAAGCTTCAGTTTTAATTTCAACATCTGGCTATCTAGGCACAATTTCTAAAACAAAATTTTAAAAAAGGGCACGGCTTTGTTAAATCAATAAATCATTTCCTTGAGCTATTTATTGATTAATAGAGTTAATAGTAAATATTTAAGTATTATGAGTGTGATGTTGCCTTTCAGGTTTTCTTAGAAATGTTTTTTTAATTGAATTTCTGGGAACTCCCCCATGTTCTTTTTCTAAGAAAGCAGCAAAAATGTACTAACATTAATAGTAACATTTATTTAAGAAAATATGGTTAATTGCAGTTGTGTATAAAACTACTAGTAAAATGTTTAGCAAAAAGAAAAAAAAAATTTATTCTACTAACATAATTTTCCTACTCTTAATTTGATACTTCCTGTTTTATTATCATATTTTAATCTTTTTGATAAGCATGCCCCTCACCACTCATTGTAACTATGATTAACTTATTTGGTGCACTTGAACTGTTACAGTTGTTAGGTCACCTTCTTGTGGTGGCCAGGAAAGTAGCCAAAGATAAAGGTTTGGTCCAAGGCTATAGAGTGGTCATCAATGATGGTCCAGACGGTGGCCAGGCTGTTATGCATATTCATGTTCATGTGACCGGTGGTAGGCAGATGGAGTGGCCCCCAGGCTAATACAATTGAACTTCCATGTCGGCACATTTTGTTTTCCTTCCTTAATTGACACTTATAGAATGTAGAAAGTAATAGAACATAAAATGTTTCAATGTAATATTTCAAGCAAAATTTAACACATTACTGCTTCATTAGTAACTACATTGTTTCAGTGGCTGTAAAACTTCATTATAGCACTAATGAACAAAAATTCTTCAGTGATATATTTGAAAACTATAAGCATTACACATTGTATGGTCATGAAACTTGATAATTTATTGAAGTAAATTCACATTTTTATTTCATTAAATTACTGATAAATGTTCTCTAATGGCATAGTTTTACAAACATATAATTAAAGACATGACAATTTTTTTGATAAGAAGAAATAATGATTTTTCAATACATTAAAAAAATGTAATTTTTTATCAGTGATAAATTATGATAAGAATTACATATCTTTACCATTTTAATAATTTCTTGTCAAATAAAAATATTTTAGTATCATTATCTTTGATTATAAATCTTTTGTTTTACAGGATTGTGAGTAATTTCTTTAATGTTTAAATTTGTGCCTGTTATTATTATTATTAACTTTTTTGCATGTCTTTGTCTATGTATTATTTAGCTATCAACTTATTCTTTCATGTTTGTAGTTCATTGAATGATGTTTTTGCTAGCTATTATGAAATGTCTATTGACCTGTGTATCTCCAGTTGTTGGGTCACCTTCTCATTGTGGCTAAACAAGTGGCTAAGCAGAGAAATCTGGAGAGAGGTTTTCGGATCATCATCAATGACGGTGCCCATGGTGGTCAGTCGGTCTATCACATCCATATTCATGTTCTGGGTGGACGACAGTTGGGCTGGCCCCCAGGTTAATCAAGTTAAGAACTAATTCAATTTCAAATTATAAGTTTCTGCCTTGCTTGAAATTTATTTAGATTTAAGTTTTATTTTCATTTGGATTGTTCAAAGCAAAAAAAAAAAAATTTGCGTTCCTTTATTTTGACTAGTTTCAATTAGGAACTGTTTTGTGTGTTCAAGAAAAGATTATAATTTCCTTTTATTTATGTAAATCTGTACCTGTAATTAAAGGTAAACTAAGAAAAAAAACATCTGTTGCCTAATGCATAATATTTTTTTGAACTTGTTGAAATCAAGTTTATTGTCAAAATACATTTAGATAGTTGTTGAATATATTATTAGAAGATTTGTGGAAGGAAATGGTGTATAAGACGGCCAACTTTCAAATTTTGTTTAAAAATTCTTTACCAGAATAATGGAAGTGTAAAGATGTATTAATATTTTTTGAAAAGGTTAAAGGCTTATACTCATTCTGATTTGACTGTCTTAATCTTTCTTTTGATTTACTTTATCAATAAAATATTGATCCAAACTGCTGGGATTGTTGTATTCATTTCTTTGTCCAGTTATTTTGTGCTTATAATAATAATTTTGAATAATTAAAACTTTGCAAATCAAATACACACTTCTAAAGTAATTTATCAGTGAACTTAAGAGCTGGATCAACAAATTTATGAATGCAAAACAGTGTTTATTTTACAAAAAAAGCTTAGAAAGCAAATTATCTTTAGGTCCAAAAATTAAGAAAGATCTCATTTACCAAACTTTGTGTTGTCATGTAAAAAAGCTATAACACTCATGTAATGCTAAACAATTCAAATTAGTGTATAAAGATCCTTTTGATTACAATAAATTGACTTCTGAAATATTTCAAATTTGTTTTATGCAGACTGATCTATTTAAATATGATTTTAAAAAATTTTTTTTAAATTTTTGCAAAACATCATGTAGGTATAATTGACTAACTTTAATCAATTGACTATATAAATTTAATATATCAACTTGAAACTATGCCAAGAGTGTAATCCATTATATTAAATGTGAGAAAATCATCATAGAAAGTCTACAAACTGATATTTTAAATTAATTATTTCATTTTAAGGAAATGTCTGTAATTTTAATTGAAAGAAAGATAAAAAAAAAACAAAAGTACAGTACTATCAATGTCTTATCTTTAAAAAAAAACACATAAAAATGTTTTTCAACTGTGCTTTATTGTATAAAATTTGTATTGTTTGATTGTAAACATTTCTGAATAAAAAAAAATACACAAAGAGATCTATACAAATATTAAGAATATTTATTATGACAAGTTTTATATCAATATTAAACACAGGTTAAAGTCATACCAAATGTACAGCAACACAGGTTGAATATCACAATTGCTTTGTAATGAGCTTTATTAAAGAATGCAGCATAAGGTCATATTTTGAATATAATAATGATCAATTTACATCACTAAATCTGTCTCACTCTGTAACATATACATTTATGCAGTAACAATGAATGAAAAAGAGTTAAAACATTGCAACAAATGAGTAGGTTTTTAGTCATTGAACAAGGAGGAGGAACAATAAATTGCTAGCTGTGTGTGTGGCATCTAGATTATTTTTTTTTGTTTATAGAAATCAAACATAAAATTATTATTTTTTTAAAAATAAAATTGCTTTTGTACAAAACATCTTTAATGCAAGATTACTCCTCTCTGGTGCAATCTCTTTTGTAGATGTGGTGAGAGGTTATCTTGGAGAAGGTTTGTAGATGTGATGAGAGAGGGTATCTTGGAGAAGGTTTGTAGATGTGATGAGAGAGGGTATCTTGGAGAAGGTTTGTAGATGTGATGAGAGAGGGTATCTTGGAGAAGGTTTGTAGATGTGGTAAAAGAGGGTCTCTTGATTTCTGTGATGCCTTTAAGTGCTTAGCAAACACAACACAGGTTGATTTAAGATTCAAAATTTATAAGTAGCAAAGTGGTTTATACCAGCCAGCCATACATCTTCCTTCAAAAATAAACACTTTGTGCTGCAAATATATGATCAAGACTGAAACAAAGATTATGAAATTAATGCAATGGGATATCATAATAAGACTGCATAAAACAAGTTAACATGAAATATAAATGAAATAAAATTGATGCTCATAATAACAATCAGAATTTAGTCTTCACAAAAATATAAATTGCCAAAAATAATTAGAATATTGGTATCATTATTTTATAATATAAACATTTTAAACTTCATATTACTTTAAACAAAACATATAACTAGACTAGCTAGCTGTCTAAAAATTGGATGACCATTAGGAGCCATTCAAAGCAGTATACAAAGCAATTACTAGTAAAACAAACAGAAATATATCACAGACAAATAAGATAGATCTACATCTAACTGTATTGATGAATTTTTCTAAAAAAAAAAAAAGATTTATACAATAACAATCTTCATAAAAAAATATGCCTTTCCAAGAAACACTTTTTTTTTTAGGAATTCTGGATGCATGTTTTCCAAGAAAGTTGTAGTTTATTTCTTCAAAAAAAAAACCCATATAGATGAATCCTAAAGCTACAAATTTATGTTAGTTAATCACTGAGTTGACACAGCAAGGCAGCTCCTTTAGCTATCCAATAATCTTGAGGTTTGTTTGAGGGTAACTGTACAGGCACAACAAAGTTGGTGGAGTGACCTGAAATAGTCGTTGCAGTAATATGAGGTTACCATATTCAACATCTTAGTGAAGTAAGCAAACAAATAGACAAGAAAGCTATACACAGCATAAAAAAGCAATTAAAATTTACTATTGGCTGTAAAGAGATTGAGTACAATTATGTCAGATAAAAGTTCCCCCTTTCAGACCTTGTGGTCTAAAGGGCAGATGATGTTAAGGTTATCTGTTTCTGTGGCCTACCGTTAACAAAGGAAGTCATGTGGCCAGCACTACTACCAACCGCCTTTACTTTTCCCCAACTAATGTCAGGTAGCCATTAGAGCTGGGTGAACTCAGAGGCGTCCAAAAGATCTTGAAATTGAAAATCCCAGTCTTCACTAGGATTCAAACCGGGGACCCCTAATTTTAGAAGCCAAGTGCTTTACCGCAAAGCCACCGTGCCTCCCATGTCAGATAAAATACTCAGTTAAAAACTGAAAACAATACTATATCCTCAGTAAAGAAAAATAATTGTCTAAAATACTCAAAAATTGTAAATACCGTACCCCTATGAAATTTAATTAGATTAAAAAGAAAAAAAAAATTTTGAGAAAATTAAATAAAAATAAAACATTTTTTGCCCAACTCTGTAATGTCCCTCTAGAAAGCCTCAGTACCTGTTGTCGAGAGTACACCTGCCCTCTCAGCAGTCTTATACAAAGGTGCAGTGTACAGGAGTTCACTGGGCACATAGTCCATTTTGGGTTCCATGTGCATCATGGGAAGACTGGAATTCATTTGACCTGCAATAACAGAGCCAAATAATACATGCAAACATACTAAGTACAGAAACATCAAGCAAAGTACAATGTGCAAAATCAAGTTATAGTTTCTATTAATTCTAGAATGTACATTTCCTGACCTTGAATGGAGTCTGTACAGACCATCTCATCCCAGTCCCACCTAAAACCATCCATGAACAGTCCATGGACCAGAACACCATCCTCTGGTAAGGTGATCTATTCATTATTCAAAGGAAATTACAAAGATCTTATTATTTCAGGGCTACAAATACTTAATTTTAAGTAATAATTGTGGGAAAAAAAAATCGAGTATTGAATAACTAGGTCAATCAATCTCAATCTTCGAGCAGCACCAAAAGCAGTCATTACTTGATTTGCAATTGTATGATAATGTGATTCTATTTTATTTTACACCTTCTATTAAAAATAAAAATTTACACCTAAACTAATTGGATATCTTTTCTCTTTTCTAATATAACCACTTCAGGATCAGCATGGAGTGTCTGCTGCACTCTTATATCAGTGGGAAAACAACATTTGGGCTGAAAGTATTTTTTGTTTCTGTTGAAGTTGGTGTTCATAACAGACATTCAAATGTAGCTCTTTAAAGTTATTGCAGCCACGGATTTTACATGATCATCAAAATGTTTGTAGAATGCAAGTGAGGTGATAAAATATAACATTTTATTTTCACTTTGGGTAATTACTACTCTTGACCAGCTAAAATGCGACCAACATAGATATGTTTTATTGAGTCAGTATCTAGAATATATGTTTTTATGAGTCAGTATCTAGAAGATTACGTAAAACACAGCAATTAACTTACCTCTTTGTCCAGCGGAATCTCTTCTCCAAACTTGAGAGACTGCATCTGTACAGTGACTTCAGCCTGGTCTCTCAACACTTTGATCATGTTAAACTGAAAACTTAAATGGTCGATGGGAAGGTTGTATTTCCTGGCATAGTTCTGTAGGGTGCCAGTTAGAAAGCCTGAGGTTTGGTAATAGCAACAAAATATTAAACTTAAGAAGATTGGTGTCAACAATATAAAACATAACAAGCATATCTGTGTGTAATTAACTATTTGTATACCTTAAGCTTCATCACTCATCCACAACAATAACAGTAGCTCAAATAACATTTTGTTCCTGCCTTTCAAACAGCTAAAACTAAAAGTTCCAAGATTAAATCCTGATTATAGCAAATGTTAATTTAAGTTTTGAAGAATGTTTATTCCAATTAGCTCTTCAATAGCTCTACTACTAACAAGAACACACCCTCCTAGACTACACCCTCTCAAACTATTAGCTACACTACATCTTCTAGAACATAACTAGCCTAATAACATTCTTTAAGACTTCTGGCCTCACATCTTCTTAGATCATCAGCCATACAACATTTTCTAAAATCACATGACACACATCTAAAACCACAAGCCAACAATGTCCTCTAAGACCAGAAGAAAACAATACAATACAATACAATCTAATAGCACAAGCCAAATAACATCATCTTAAGACTAGTGACAACAAAGCTTACTCCTAGATCACAGCAATCTTTATCACTACTAGTCTTCTCTATTTCTTATTATTGCCAATGTTATGGCACCCTTGTAACAATGCAGTGGGTAGTGAATCACACAGGTGTGACTTGCAACACTGTTGCTGACGTTTTGGCCCAACAGTGCGGACTAACACCACCCACCAAGCATTCTGTAAGCTTACATGATCCAAATGATATAGATGGAAAAATGTTTGAGTGTTGGAACAAGTCTTATCATTGAAGTCTACGAGATGCCCTGACCAGACCTTCCTATGGTGAAAGCAGCCTTGGTTATAGAACAATGCAGGACATGCCACCATTTCTTTGATTTATACTTTGCACAGTTCAGGCCAAACTACGAATCGCAAGAAGAGGAAACTGTCTGAATTCTGACTCGACAGTTCTAGGAAGCCACATGTTCTTGACCTGTACAGTGATGTAAATGCACTATGCACTATGCACAACAGTAGGGTCCAGGGCTTTTGCAAGAGAGGATGAGTCTCTCAAGTCTACACTCACATGGAGCTTGATGTTGATGATTTAATTTTATCTAGAGACATGTACTACATCTATTTCATGATTGTGTTGCTAGAAGTTTCTTTACATATATTATTTCAAGTAATTATATTACATAAAAGTGACCAGACAATATAAACTAACAAATTTTACCTTGTGGGAAGAAGAATCCAGACAACCAGAAAGATTTTGGAAGTCCATGAACAATCCAGTTGTTGATAAAAGCACATCTGAGTACCAAATCTTTCACCCATGAACCCAGAGGTTTGAGTGAAGGATAAGCTGCACTGGCCCATAATCCTGGAACCTGGTGAGAGAGAAATAAATAAATAACAATGTCAGAATTTGAACATTGAGCATTCTATCATCTGATTAGTACAAAATTGAAATGTACTAGAAATGTTTACCTAAATATCCTTCAACATTTAGCAAGAAGAAAATTTGTATCCAAACCAATACTAAAAATATTTGGAAAAAAAAATTAAATGTCTGACCAACATATATGCCCATGTATTACCTGATTGTTGAGGAAGGCATTATACACACGCTCTAGTTCTTCGCTCATAACCACAAAACCTTTGATTGCTTTCTGTAGTTGTTCCAATGAGCTCTACAAGAAAATATTACAATGACAAGATTTGGTGTTAAATGTTTATAATGTTCACTTTTAGTAACAACATGTATTTAGGCTGGTTGATAGAAGTTTACCTTAATAACTTTGAGAAGTTTATTGAATCTATCAACTTCTTGTTGTAATACTGTTGTCAGCGAGTTCATGCGCCCTTTCTCGTCCAGCTGAAAGTTAAAGTTGGTCTTGAGGACTATACTTAAATACTACACATACATAAATGACTAGCATATAAACAGGTACAAATCTTTACCAAGTATAAGTGGACTAAAGTACAAATTTCTAAGGTTAAGCCTAGGTTCAGAAGCTACCACAGAGCACAGATACTATTACAAGAAAAAATTATTTGGTTACCTGAAACATCTCTGCTTTCGCCAACTCAATGTCCAGTTTGTCCATGAGCTTTCCTTTGATGTTTTGGGCAAGTTCATCAGCAATGTCATCGTTGGACTTGCCAGAGCCACCTGAGGACAGTCTTGGCTGAACATCAAGGATAGTGTTAATGAGTGCATTGGTCTCATTGATCTGGAATGCAATGTTGGCATTCTCATGCATGCCAAAGATTTCCGGCTGGTCGATCTGAGGAAGTTCTTCTATATACTGCCTATATTCTCCAATGGTATCAACAAGTGGGGCATAATAGATACCTATGAAAGGAGAAAAATACATGCTACAATAAAAGTGATTCTTAAACACTAGTTTACTA